TCATCTTCCCTTTCAGACTCATCAGTTCCATCAGTTAAGCTGGTCTTACTGCAAAATAACTCTACAGAAAAAAAAACCATCAGTGTAAATGACATAGAACCATTAACATTTATCTTTTCTCTATGGTGATACATGTATATTAAGAACTGAGTTGGCCAAAATTGAATAATTCCAAAAAGACTGTATTTCTAAGTAAAACAGGTCCAAATAACATGGCAATCATTTTATGGGGAGCGCCAGCGGAAACTATTCAAAAATGGTGACTGAAACAAAATTAATTAAATAAGATACAACTACTACTACTGCTGCTGCTGTTATTAATATTATTATTATTATTATTATCATCATAATCATTATTATTATAAACATGATATAAATAGTATCCCACAAACCACTTACAGCAAGGAGCCTAAAAGTGTAACCTCCTTTAATTAAGTCACATCCTTTCTTGCAGACATTCACCAATCAGAAGTCGAGGACAGTTTTCAACTGGCTTAGCTTCTTATTGGATTAAATCTGCACAAAAGAATGTGAATACCATAAAATCCCACGTTAAAGCTCCCCCCCCCCGCCCCTAATATAAGCCCATCCATTTTCTAATGGAGATATCATTACAGATATAAGCCCCCCACCCCCTCCCCCCCACATTTATAAGCCCATCTAATGTACAAGTGTGTTTCTTTTGCATTTTTAGTCTAAAATTATAGGCATAAACAAGTGGCTGTGGAGTTTAGAACACTAACAACTGATACCAAACAAAGAAACAAATGTTCATGCACACATAACAACACTATGAGTTCCACTCTACAATCTGGCATTTTTCCAGGCAAATTGAAAAGTTAAGGCTTGTAGTCTTTTCACTTGCATTCTGTTTGGTTCCAAATGTTCTAGTCACCTATTAAGTGTTTTAGAGATGTTTTTGACATACATTCTCTAATTATTGTGACAAACAATAAATGTATTGTAAATGTAACCCTAAGTGTAATTGGTAATTGTTTGCTTTAATTAATTTGTTTCTCAGATATGTTTTATCTTGTGGTTCTAAAATATTTTTTTTTATTCTGCTTATATGCACAGGGTGCAAAGAAAGTCAGTTTTACAGCCTACCATTCGGGCAAACTGTAGCTAGCATGTACTAGCCCACAAGTCATTTTAACTAGCCCAAAACCCTTTTTGAGTAGCAGGATTGATTACAATCCTTCTGTAATTTGAATTTCCCAAAAAAACAGCAATTGCCCGTCCGGCAAGTTAAGAAAAAAAATCACTAGCCCTATAGCAAAATCCACTAGCCCTAGGCTATCGGACACAACTTTCTTTGCACACTGTATGCATATCAGTCAAGCCAGGTTCATATATTACCAGTCACAATATATATTACTTACATCCCATTACTTTATTTTTCATCCATGGAACCCCCATTTAGGACTGGGTCCATGCACCTTTTTTTTGTCGAAGCAGAAATGATCAATAAACGTTACCACTGGCTTCAACCTACAAGGCTGATGTTTGTGGGTGTTGATCACTGATACTTACTCCTGCTTACAACGTGATATACCCAATGCAGGTACATATGCTCATAGCCTGATTGACTTGAAGTGTTTGCTCCGCTTTGTGGATATTATTTCTTTTTGCTGTTTTCTTTCTTCCCTAGACAGTTAAATTGACTTTCATTCTGGATCATGCCTCTTCTTTCTATTTTGTTACCCAGAGAAGGCAAGCAAGATACAGGAGCACACATGACCTATGGTTTAAATGATCACAGTTTGGAGCAGATTCAGGTCAATATTAATATTTGGAAATTCATAGTGCTTCGTGTCAAAATGGACTGTTTTTCCCCCAGTCAGCTTTTACTTCTTACCATATTTAGTACACGTGACCTCCAAATGTAAAACTCAACAAAATGTCATTTAAACCAGCCAGGAACAGCAAGGTTATACTCAGTAACAAGTACGTGAGATATAATTTGCATATACAGTGAAACCTCTATTAAGAGAACACCCTCGGGGAATGCTCAAAAGTCCGCTTAATACAGGGTGTCTGCCTAATGCAGGTTTTGATAGATAACATCATATGAGGTGTCAAATGCTATTCCAATGAAGGTGGAAACGTCGGGAATACTCCCATGCAGAGACTACAACAATACACGTTTGCATTAACTTCTTTCTTTGTGGACCAATTGATCATAATACCATAAACATAAGATTGCACCTCAAATTTCAAGAAATCAGAGGAGTGAAAGAAAACAAAATGAGAAAAGATAGAAAACAATACTGGGTACTGTGAAACTGATCAAATGAGCAAAACAAGCTGTATATTGTACAAACAATCAAAAAACTGAATAAAAACTGTGTCCTTTTCTAAGCTGTTTATTGTACTGAAGCAATGAACATTAAGCATTATCTCTAACGATAAGAGTCATCAATTCGTGATTGTTTGAGTATCTTAAACTTCTTTTCTGGAGCAAGTTGGGTGCCTTGCTTTAAATGGCCAGCATAAGGTTCTCTTGTTCATGACATCTGGTATGTTAATTACAAGTGTCCATTTAATACAGGTTGGCAACAATAGAAATGACCATTTCAGGTACTTTTTAGGTGTCCACGTCCGCTTATTAGAGGTGTCTGCTTAAGGTCTCATTAAAGTAAATAAGAAATAAATTTGGGGACTTTGGCTACTGTCTGCTTAGTAGAGGGTGTCCGCTTAATGCAGGTTTCACTGTATATTAATTTTTTTAATTTTTAGGCTCCTCCAAACTTCAGTTAAAAATTAACCAGGAAAATCAAATAGACAAATATATAGAGGATATTACACGGTGGCGAGAAGATATGAATTTTATGTTTGAGTGGCAAGAACAATATCTCACGAGTGAGCGAAGCGATGCTCACTCTATAACAAGAACGGTGCTCTTGTATTTTAAGTATAGAAGGAGCCAACGTGTAATGTTCTTTTTATTATATGGAGAAAGCAATTCAACAAAAGCAAAAGGCGGGAATCGTGACGTCATTGAACAATACGACACTCACAAAGGTGACATACGGAAAATACGCCACTCGGGTCCCGGATGAAGTGGCATATGGAATCTACGAGTGGTTTAGTTCCCAGTAAAACACTCTCCTCCATATAATAAATAATGGTATATTAATATTCATTTGAAACTATAAAATATTTTTTGACTTCACTTCAGTTAAATAAAATCGACCCCTAGCTTTGATCTTCTTTTGTTGATCTATAAATCCTGATGTACTATAACTGGTGTTGATGTTGCAGTTAATTTAACCTGCGAACGGCAGACGTTTCTCCTCGCTCATCGCAGCTGGGAGATGTTTCGCGAGGAGGAACGTCTGCGACTCAGCGACAGAAATTCCATGATGATGATGCAAAATCTGTCCGGAACGCGGTCAGAAGTGCTAATTGGTCAACGGAGTAGTTTCATTGTTCGGGCTATTGTTTACGAATGACAGACAAAAGACAAAAGGCGGCAAAGGTCACATGTAAATGCGATGAATCTCTAACAAAACAGTCAATAGGTGTCGAATATAGTCTTCTCTAGAAGAAGCATTTGAGTTTTACTGGAGACCAAATAAAGTGTCCATAGACCCAGTCCATATAAGTAGTCCAGGTACCAAAAGTCCAAAATAAGGGGTCCTAGTTTGTCATCTTTCGTCACCCTATGATTACCAAATGGAGGGCTTACTCACAGGCCATGCACCACTTAATACTCTGGACTACAAGCAGCCTCTTGTTATACTTTGCAAAGTTACTGCACGCGAAACCTAAGCACGTGATCGAGCCGCGAGATATGAGCGCATAAGCCCAAGAAGAAAAAATAAGAGACTGCTGACTCTTTTGTTCCGTCTGGGGACAACAAAGCTGTCCAGGTAATTTAATTAATCAATTAAACCCGAGTAACTTGAAACGATTTATAAATAGAACATAAACTTCTGAAAAAATTACCCTTTCTTTAAATTCGGCAAGATTGCCTTGAATTCGTTTCCTTGAGGAAATTTACAGCAGTTTCCTCCTGGAAGATATCCTTAAAAGGTTTATTACTAAGATTACTGCTTGGTTCGCTATTTTTTGCAGTTGGTTGTGACGCATGACTATTTTTATTGCTTGCAATTTCACCACAGACCAGTCAATGATCTGTCAACATCTGTGCAACTGACCAATTGGTTACTCCGTTTCTGGGCTGACGGAGGGTTGTTTAGTACAAAAGAGTCATCAGTCCGTCTTTTCCCGTCTCGTCTCTGTAGTAATAATATTGTGGTTTGCAATCGCGCCGGATGAGATAAGAACTAGACGGATTTTAAGAGAAAAGGCGGACTGCAAGCAGTCTATTAACACTGTCAAAAAGTCACTATAAAGTACCGTAAAATTACCGAAAATAAGCCCCTCCACGTATAAGCCCCTCCAAATACAAGCCCCCCCAAACAGGTAACGCAAAAAACCCTCAGTTAAATCGCCCCTTCAAATATAAGCAACCCTGGGGTTGTTCTTGGAAAATTGCCCACAAAAACAAAGAAAAATGGTAAATTTACTTCCAACTATAAGGCTAGCCCAATCTATTTTGAAACGCAAATTCCCCAGGGTAGAGCGATTTTCATATGACCGTTAAGTGTTTGTTATTTGTTTTATCAGCCAATGGATGAAAAGAATAAAACATGGACTCTTTGTTTTCCCGCCAAAGAAAACCCTAATATGGAGAAGGCATTGTTCGATTGACCAATCGTGTTGCAGTATGACGTCAAAGCAAGTTTCTAGAAAGTTCTTCAGGCATTTCAGCTGAGCGTTTGCTTAACCAACCAAAAGCTAGGTGTGTTTGTATCGTTCGATAAACCAATCAAATCGCTTTATTTCCGTTCGTTTGTTGTTTTTGTTTTGTTCACGCGTTTTCATTTCAAAGTCATACGAAAATTGCTCTATCAGCTACTCCATGTTGAGAATATTCCACCACACTTACCAACAGGCTGTCCAAAACAACAATGCACCGCCACAATCTGACCCAGATCATCATCACCGAATATAAGAACACCAACAAAAGCATCATCCTTGAAAATGCCACCTCCAAAGGCAAGACGATCACTGAAAGCTCCACCAGCAGTAAGTTTTGACAGAGTATCAAAAGTTGATGCTCCGGGAGTGGATCTTGCACGAAGGACTTCTTTATCATTATCATATATGATTTCATAGGATTCTACCATAAAACTTTTAGAATTTCCGTTCACAATTTGGCAAATTGAGCCTTTAAAAGGCTTGGGGTCAGTTATTTTGTTGTCGTTGGCTTTGAAAGGGCGATATTTTTTAAAGTTATCACTCAGTTTCTTTGAGTCCAAATGAATCATTACCAAACGGTGATCGAAATGTACTCCTTTGTTTGGCTCCGTTACTTTGTCAAGATTGTATATTTTCAGTTTGTTTTTCTTCCTTGACTTGAAGCACAAAACGTAATCGCCCTTATTCCACTCATTCGAATTTTGCTTCACCTTGGCTAAATATTCTTTACTAGGAATGATCCTTTCACTGGTAACTAAGACAATGCTTTCGTGTAAGGACACCACCGTGCCAGTGCACAGCCCTCGTATGTCACCTGAACATTTTTTTCCAACGAGGCACACTCCTGCCACAGTTTTAATTTGTGCATATTCCGCAGCTGGGTTGGATTGAAGAGGCATGAGCCCCGGACGCTGACTCATAAAGTTCACCGCCTTGTTATATATCAATACTAGGTTTCCTTCCAATATGCAGGACAAGTCAACGCCGGTCAACGCACCCTATCACAGGGTACCCAGACTGACAGAGTGCAAAAAAAAAAAAGAAAATCCGCTAACTGGGTCGCTGATTGGATAATGGCTGATAATGACGTAGTTTTGTTGTTTTGGTGACTGCGCCTGCGCAAACCCAAGAATATCGATGACGATTCACCGGCGAAAAATGTCTGCGCATGCTCTACTAAAAATGACACGTGATCGATTTCGGGTGATGTCATTGGCTCCGAGGCGAAAATGCCCGTGAAATGTTGTTCAGATGAAAGAAGCAATGGTAGCTTTTTTTGGCAGTGACAGCCTTGCAATTTCTTGTCACTGTAAGAGATCAAAAATTATTTTGGTCAAAGTTTTGACGTAAGTGTGTTCTATAGAGAATATAGCATCCTGAAACTGGCGAAAAATCGCATTGGGACGGTTTGATTCAGTGTTATTGACGTTGAGATCGCTGGTTTGCGTGTGGAAGACACGCCGAAAAGGTGGGTAATTTTTGCTCTTTTTGTTAACTGCATGTTCCGTGCAACTCGGTACAAAAAGAAATTATAAAGTAGTGGAAGAAAAATTATGGGGCTTTGTTTTGGTATATAAATTAGCTTGTGCCGAGTTGCACGGAAGCGACATTTTTGTTAAATGTGTATCCCGTTTTTGTGTCAAAATTCGACTTTGATTGTGAATCTAACATTCGCTAACATTCGACTGTTGATCGAAGAGCGTATTACAATGCTATCAAAAATGTTTTTGTTTTTTAGATCAAGTTTCTTATCACGGATTCAACAAAAAAAAGTAGAGGGACAGACATTTTTGGGCTTTGTTTTGTTAATATGACCTAGCGTGTCCTTTGTTGCTGGAAAAACTATATTTAGATGCTTATCTCCGCATGTTTACACTGTTTATTGCAGAAAATATGCTTACGCTTGGTTCAACTTAATCTCGTGTCACTTGGTACGAAGGGAAATTATAGTAAAGAATTACTCTTAGCTATTGTCTTGGTGTGTAAATTTGGCTCGGGATTATCCACAACGAGGTCCTTGTTACTTTCCGCGTTAGGAACTGCACTTACGGACATGATTACTCTCGTGCACAATTTTTTAGTACCAAATTTGTGCACACAAGGCTTTCTGTGGGGGGGTGCTTCTTTGCTTGAAAACTGGATCCTGGAAGGAGATGAACAGGGTAATTTTCCTGTGAATGCTTTTCAGTTTTTCCGTCCATTGTTTTTGGCTTAAATTTTTTTGGAGCATGAATGAAAGACAGAGTTAACATGCTACTAAGTATTTAAAAGTTCTTTCCAAGAAAAAAAATAACTGGGAGTTAAAAGTTTGGAGTAAACTTGAGTCTTAAAAAATTTTTGTTTGATCATGTTGATGAATGCGGGTGTGTAGGATGTGCAGTTTCCAATTTTGATCTTCTGACAGAAGTATGAGAGAACACTCGCAGATCTCATTCAAACATTATAGTTTCATTGTTATTATTGTTTGTTTCTATTCCTACAAACTTCTCATCAGGTCTCCATTTTGCATGAATTTAATCATAATGTGATATATATTTCTCAAACTCATTAATAATTCATTAAGAAAATACAAAGGAAATTAATGTTTAATGAGTGTTTGGAAATCAGATGAAACACTGCTTAGTATTTGCATCCTTAATTTCTCCTTCAAAAATGATTTTGTTTGATTTTCATCACCAGATGAAACACCTCGAAGTTCGTCAAAAATACTCCGCTGCGCGTCGTATTTTCAACTCTCTTCTCGGTGTTTCATCTGGTGATGAAACACTGCATCTCATGTTTGATATATTACTTGAAGGGGTTTTTGTTTCACTATGAAGTAGTTTTCACTTTGTTTTTTGATATGAAGTTCAGTTTCTTCTTAGTTGTTGGCTAAGACAGTGTTAAAGTATCTGACATGTTAACATACTTTACTTTTCATTTCTCTTCAGAAAAGATTGATTGATTCTGAATCAAACAAAGTGCAGCCTCACAAACAAGATTTTTTTGACGAGCAAATGTGTACTCAAGGAAAGCTTATTTCCCTGACATTGTCAATAAAATTTATTAATGGAAAGATCTGGGTTTTTACTCCTTTGTAGCACTTTAGACTATATGCATCACTTTTTTAGCCTTTATGTACTAAAAAAATAAAATATAATCACTATTTTTTCCAACTAACACTTGAATCAAAGTTCTCTTCTTTCAAATATAGTATTCCCCTAATTTCAAAAAATTCATTATTAAGATCAAGCACAGTAACCATTGAAAAGAAAAAAAGATAAAAAACCTTGCTCGGTCAAAGACGGCTTTAAAGTTTTGATATTAAAATTGCACCCGTTCTCAATGAAAAGACTGAATGCAGACACTAAAGTTCATTTAGCCCATGTTCAAGCTTTTTTTATAAATTGGAAAGTGATGCTGGCGAAAAATATTTTTGCTTTACCTTTTCGGTAAACGAAAAAAATAATACCTACTAGGTGTCTAAGCAATTTCAAAGGACCCATAGTGTCTTATTTATCTGCTGCATTGAGCTGTGAACAAAGGCCGTTCTTTCTAGTGACCCTGCTTTTTTCTGAAACATTTTTGTCCTTCGTGATCCAAAGTTGGCAAAATCGCGAGCATCGCAGGAAACGAATCCCACAGGATTAGGTGAAAAAGGATAATAAAAAGTCTAGGCTATTCTAAAAATACCCGATATACATTTGCAACTCATATTAAGCCGCAATTAACCTTCTTTCCATTGAAATAAACGAACTATATATGGAGGTATTGCCGCCATTTTGAATTTGACAAAGTCACGTGGTCGCGCGTCGACCAATCAGACATTTTTCGCCGGTGAACGATGACGATGATCATTAACGATAAACAAAGGAGACTTCTGTTTGATTGGCTGTTTAATTTTGTAGTGTTCAGTTTCCTCGCCGCTCGCAACAAGTTGGCTGCCAAAGCGAAGTCCTCCTACCTTCCTGTCCTTCGATCGTTCGTTCATGGCACGTAAAGGTTTACAAACTGTAATGTCTTTCTATTAGCCTATAGTACTTGTAGGGGCGTTGACAAGATTTTTAATATGCGTATATTGCCGAGTGCGTCGCAAAAAGAACTAATCTAAAGCAAAGTACATCGGCGGGGACGGGAAATTATTAATTTACATAATGCTACAATAAAGAGTCTTTTTTTGGGGAGGAAACGTATTTTTCCACTTCACTGAGACGTCCTGCCGACCCGGAGAAAACAGAGAAAGGTAAGCTTATTGTTTATGTGGTACGTTTTATCACTCAAACCGTGTACAACGTCTTGATCTTCAATTATGTAGATGTTTGAGTTCTATATATAAGCTTAGGCTTAGTTTTTCTGTTTCTTGCCAGGTTGTGAATTTCTGACTGTACTGCTGCCTCTGAATGACGGAGTGATGCATGTAGCGACTCAGAGACCTGCTTGTTATTTTTATTGTTTGGCAAAACATTCCTCGCCACGACCCCATCTATTAAAATAAGTTACCTGTTTACTACAAAACTAGAGAAGAATTGGAGTTGGTAAACGCGCGTCTGGTTGCTTTCCTAACCAATGCGGTTTACTGTAATAAATGCCAAAGGGGGAACCCACCATACACATGTACTTGACTTAATCACTTTTTTGCTGGTTATTTAATACATGCAAATGTAGTCCATAGTAGAAGCAAACACTACATCTGCATCTAAAACTAAAGCTTTTCTATAATAGCTTTTTGCACAGTTACAGTCGCAGCTGGAGTTGACCTTTTTTTTGAAACAACCCTTTCTTCTTTATTATGTGGATCATAATAAAGAAGAAAGGGTTGTTTCAAAACAAGGTCAACTCCAGCCTCGACTGTGTGGATCATGTTGTTCTCATGCAAATATTTTTTTTTCAACGAAATTTACATTTATAAGAAAAGGAAGGAGGTTTAATTGTATCAACCTCAGTCTCACATTCACTCAAAGACTAGGACACCAAGCCCACAACTGTAAAATGGCCTATTGCTCTTGAATGTACATACTGTAAGTCAGACTGAATGTCATTCTTTCAGCCATATAATCATTGTGTTTTCCCTTCAGTGTTCTACCATCTATCTATTTACATTGATAATATTATTATTTCATTTCATCTTCACTTTCAACAATAACATTAATGTGCACCAGTTATCATGACATACCTGTTTAATAACTTTTAGTACTTAATACTGGTGTATATAATTATGGAGGTCTACATTGCTCAGGGTAGTGGGTTTTTAAGACTGGTAAAATCAGATAATGATACAGAAAAAAACTTATATTGGCTGAAGAAAGAGATAGTTTCTGTTTGAAGTTTTTATGTATGGTTACATTGTAGGTAGAGTATTCTAATGAGATGCAACAGTTGCATAAAAATTCTGTTCTTCTTATTTAGAGATCAGATGTTTACCAGACCTAAAGTTTTCGTTTGTTTGTATAAAAAGACAATTTGTGAATTACAGTCTGTAAAATTTTTGCATAGTGTGAATTATGGTAACTATATTAAAAGGTTGTAACCCGTTGCAAAAGGTAATTTTAACCTAAAATAAACTAGTTAAAATCGTAACCTTTATGTTATTGGTTAGATTAACCACTGATCAGCAGTTGTTGTGACGGTTATAATTCCGTTAGAATATCGACTGGTCAAAATAACTTTTCATGGCAGTCAAAATAACGAAACGAAATGGTTAAGCAAATGGTAAAAATGTGCATCTAACCTGAAAACAGTTGGTTAAAATCTTTTATTAACTATTTGTTGGTCATGACTAACCAATAATGATCTGTTATTTAGAGCTATGAAGTAGGTTAAACACTGAATGGTCAAAACTGACTTTTCCGAGGGGTTAAACTGAACGGAANCGTAACCTTTATGTTATTGGTTAGATTAACCACTGATCAGCAGTTGTTGT